TAGGCTTTGACCTCCTTAACAATACCAAAGAAACAACCAGATCTGTTGATGTCCCACCCACTCGTTACGGATCTGATAATAAGGTTCTTTCACCTAAAGATGCATATCTCAATTCAGAATTAATTGTTGTTGGAGCCGCATACACAGCTGACCGCAAACTCAAGCAGAGTTATACTGAAATCAAGAAACTGGATAAAGCTAAGGCACGAGAAGAAATTTTAATATATGCAGAAGAAGAAGTCGAAAGATTATTTGCCACAAATGTCACACATAGTAATAAGGAAGACGTGTTGCAACGTGCAAAACGAGCTGCTCGCTTCTTGATCGATGAATATTTCGACATGGAAGATAAGATTGACGAATATTGTATAAGTCCTACTCGTTACGGATCTGATAGTGAAAAATCATTATCCAATAATTTGGAAAACTCTGATAATGATAAAACTATTAACATTGGTAAGGTTGTAATATATCGTCGCGTATTACTTTTTTGGAAATAAATTATAACAGATGTCACATTTTTCTTTAAAATTTTAATTAGATAAACTCAAAAATATAACTTTACAGTTGAAGGTAAAAGCTTATTTTTTTTGACATGTTAAAATATTTATTGTTTTGATGAATTTTTTATCCTAGATTTGTTGAAATTGAAACGATTAAAAGACGATTCAAAGTCATGACTTATCGCAAAAAGAAATGTTGCTAATTGTCAGTGTAGTCATTAGGAAATGTTTAATATTTGGGTTTTGTCAACATGTTCTATTTATTTATTTGCCATCATCTAGTTTATTAGAGTTTTTACTTATCAAAATTTAGACTTTTATTATTGAAAGTTCTATTACGTTTAAAATAGGCCTATTTATTTGAATTATCTAATTTTATATAACATGTACATATTGTATATATTGTAATTTTCATGTTAGTTTTTTTTTACAAAATGAAGTTTACGATTTATATAAACAATTTGAATTTAATACTGTACTTGCTAGAGGTTGGAACCGGTTTTAATAATTCGGGTTTATCACATGAATTTTGGGATATTTTAGAATTTATTAAAATTAATTAGATAAATTTCTAAAATATCCCAAAATTCATGTGATAAACCCGAATTATTAAAACCGGTTCCAACCTCTAGTACTTGCAACACCCTTTATTATCTTTATTATGATGATTAACTTGATTAGGACTGCTACATAATGAATAACAAAGTTAAACCATTCAAATATAATGAATTTTGTAAATCAGGTAAGAGCTTTAAGTAGCTCAGATTAAGGCCACCAAGAATATTTGATAGCATAATATGCGCATTTTGCTTTATGAAGTATGGTTATTAATCGAAACCTATTTTGACTTTCCCCAAAAAAACTTTTTGAAATTGCAAACGTGCGAATCTGGCGAGACTAATGAAAAGTTGTGAATACTAGTAAACGAAGTTTAAAGGTAAACCTTACAGACGATGACAACTAAAATAAAGATTAAAGATTGAATATTTACTATTAATATTATTGATCCGGAGCGCGTGAATTAATTATCACCCAAAGCATGTTTAGACTCAACAACATAATTCCATTTGTTTTTAATAGAATACATTTTGTAGCATAGCGGGTATTAATTCGATTGGATGATCGACACAATATGTAATTCATATTAGCGTAATGTTTCGCAGGCAGCCACGAGCATATTGCTGTTTTAGTAGTATAGTTTGTTCAGTCTTGAATGGATCAAATGGTTGGTAGTTCAGGTTTTTGAAAGATTAGTTTCTTGTATTCATTATTAGTTGCTGTTGTTATTTGGTATTTGACATGGTTATAAATTTTTTATTTGTTGATGTTACTAAATTGTTTTTTGTAATGTATAAAAATTTTTGAAATCAGATATCAAATTGTGGTTTGATTAGTGAAAAGGTGAAATATGATAGTTTATATTAAATTCTTGAAAGATAATATTTATAATAATGTTAATATGAAATTTAAAGATATTATAGATTTGTAAAATAGAAGTATTGTTTTTCAAAATATTTGAAATATGATTTATATATATAAAGGTTTTTAAATAGATGGGTTTAAGTTATAAGTTATAAAAGAATTTTTGATAATCAATAGTTTGATATTTGTTATGTAGGAATAGATAAAGTTTTACAAAGTTTATAATAATTTGAAATTATTTTTTAATTAAATAAGAAGGAATAAAATAATATGAGTTAAAGAATTATTTATAGTTTGTTTTATAAAAAAGAGTATAAATAAATTTGATAAGTTAGTTTTTTGTTATATTAAAAAGAATTTTAAAGAATATTTTGATTACTTTGGTAATATATATGTTTTTGTTTAGAATTGTATTTATAATAAATTTAGATTTTTTAGTTATTATAGTTTAGATTAATAAGTTAAAATTATTTTTTACAACTGGGTTGTTAATTATTATAAAATTAATAATTGAATTAGAATAAAAATCTTTGAAGATTAGTTTTAAAAAATCTAATGTTTGAATTTTAAACAAAAACCAAAACAATGAACTCTTTTCAATAATCTCTTATACCAACTTTTTCCAAAAGTTCTAAGCTTTAAAAACTATATAATTATTATATTTAAACATAACAAAACTCTATTTTGAAATAACTAGAGAGGCTATTCACTGCATACTTGGTTATAATTAAAAAGAGCTAAAAAAGATTTGAACCCTTGTAAGTGAAGTCTCTTAGTAAAACACAAGTACTATTAAGCAAAGAAGTAGTAAATAAGCTCTGAAGTTTGTCAAGTGCTATAAGAACTTAGACTTAAATAGTTACTTGGTTTAACATAATATTCTATATAACATATACTCTTACAACTCCTTCTCAAGTTGGTTTTCCTTTCTGCCCTCACTACTGGATTTTTGTCTCAAAATTTTTATCAAAAAATGAGAAATCTGACATATCTCTTCCAAAAGATCGATACTGTTTATCTTTCCAAATCGATAACATTAGTCATGAGAAAATTACAATACGAGTATTAGATCTATGATAGATGATATGTGTCAAACTCAAGAGAAAAATAAAAACTTTGATCATTCTCCCCACATGATAAATGGAATATATAATAATATGGAGATAAAGTAAATGTAAAGCATTCTTTATTTAGTATTATATAGAATTTTTAAAACCAAGCATAGGCAAAAATAGTGCCTTCATGTTTTTTGTTTTTTTTTTGTTTTTTTTTTTATCTTTCTTTTTTTTTCTTTTGATTTATGTTTAGGTTTTGTAGTTAGTTTCCTCTTTTTTTTTACTCCTTTTTAGTTTTTCTTTCATATATCTTGTTGTTCTTTAAGTAAGGATTATAGAATCCTCTTGCTTGATAATTAAAAAAGAGAAAAAAATGAATCAAAGATAAAACTAGGAAGACAATATTGGAGCTTGTCATGAAAGGTAAAAGACTCTTTCATTATGGACTTTAAGTAGTCTGATAAGCAGTTTACTTCTGCTTGAAGTAATATGACAGGTCTGCACTTAGGTGCCATTAGGGTGGCTGGGTGATGTTAGACTTAGTTGTTAAACATTGATGTAATTGTAGTAATTACTAGAATATTAATAAAATACTACTAGTGTGACTGCCTAAAGGAAAAAAAAAATTTTTAAATATCATAAATATAGATAAAGAAGAGTTTTCTAATATAAAATAACTTTTGAACCAGTCTAAAAGATAATCTTGTTGGGTTATAATTTGTAGATTTATTTTAGAATTATAAATGATAGTAATAATAGAAAAGTATTTAAAATTGTAAATAGTTTAGAATAGAAATATGCAAAAGATTTTTTAAATAGTTTATATTATAAATAAAGTATTTTATAATATAAGTAGCAAAAAAGAGCAGATAAAAAAAATAAGAATGAATAAGAAAATTGAGTTTTTTAAAGTTAACAATGAATTTTTTAAAGAGTCAGTAAATTTTTCAGGTTTCTTTGAGAAAATTTAAAAGAATAATAGGTATTTGGATATTTTTAAGATTGGTAAAAAGTGAAATTTCCAAGACAATATCATAAATTTTCTAAAATTAATCAATAGAATTTCAGAAAAAAATTTGAATAGAAATTTAAAGAGAAATATCAATAACTTAATAAGTTTGGTCTATTAAAATTAAAATTTATATTGAAATAATGTCTTAATAAACTGGATATTTTTGTTTAATAAAAAAAATAAGTTTGCTTAATAAAATTTAGTAGAAATTGAAAAATGTATTTTTTAAAAAAATATTGGTTTGTGTATAATATAATAGTTAGAATTTAGTAAAATTAGTTTAGTTGAAAGCAGAAAGTTTAATGTATTTAGTTTACTTAAAAATAAAAGAGTTTAATTAAGTATAAATTAAGAAAAATTAAAAAATATATAAATAAAAATAATTTTATTAAAATGTAAGAATTTGTTGTATTGAAAGATTAAATAAAAATAAATTAAATTGTTTTTAGAATAAAAAGTTGTAAAGAAAAAGTTTAATTAAAAGTTTAAGAACTATTAATTTAGTAAAATATTAAGAAAAATTGAATTGTTTGTTAGAAAAAAATTGGTTTTAGTGATTTATAAGAAGAATTAGATAATTAGCATCTAATTTTATCTTATTATTATATTTTATTTTAAGATACTGTATATATATTATTATATACTTATTTATTAACAGAATATTTTAAATTAAAATTAATAAACTTAATTTAGAATAATTAATAATATAGTATTAGTTATTTCATTATCAAGACACTTTTCCCTGCAGATCCCTTGACCAAAATTTCCAGAAAGCAAAACTTAGTAAAACTCAATAAATAGACTAGTAAACAAGACTTGAGGTACTAACAAAAAAGATAAAGCAGCAAAAATTGCATATAGTTTAATAGAAGATATAAAGAGAAGTCTTAAAGTCAATAAAAAACAGCATATAAAAAACTCTACGAAAAGTAAAAATTTTTTGTTTGGAAAATTGGGGAATTGCCAAAACCTTGTATTGTAGATTCTTCAAGTTACACAAGAAACTGCACTAGTACAAGCAAAGTAAACAAACAAACATGTATATCAACTAGCTTAATCTAGATACAACATGTGACATAGAAACATATAGAAAACACAGTTGTACAACATGAATAGAAATCTGCCAGAAGAATACAAAGAAAGCCTTAATGCAATTTTTACAAAAAGGGCATATGAGGCGATGAATAGTATACACAATAAAATTTTCTTTAATGAGACAAGCAAGGCATATGCAATACCTAGCAGAGAAGACAATATTGTCACAGTACTTACAAGACAGAATCCAAATGAAGTAGTGCTCTTGCGAATAACAAAAAAAATACTAGAAAAAGCAGAAAGAGAACTGCCTGAAAAGAAGTTGGATTTTGTAGAACAGTACCAAGATAGATTAAATACAGAAAGAAAGGAAGAACAGCAACAGACTAATAAGATAAAAAAAAAGGCAAGAAGAGTTAATGATAGAGACAAAAAGAAAAAATAAAGAAGATGAAGAGGCAATATAAGTTCACAAGCAATCATCAAAACAGTAGAAAAAAAGTAAGTATAGAGGTAAGACAGACAAATAATAACCAAATAGAAGCCGAATCATCCATCTATATAGAAAAAGAAGAGGAACAAAAAAGAGGACAAAAATAAGAAAATATAGAAATGTATGAAAAAGAATCAAGACAGGGATCAATAACAGAAGA